AAAAAACTTTTTTAAGAGAATCATTTTATTTAAAAAAAAAAAAAGAATTATTTAATTTTATTTTTTATTATTATCTTTTAATTTGACCATAGCGAGAGAGAAAATGGGAAAGCAAGCCACCAGGTTTGGGAATTGAACAGTGGTCGGCCATGTGGGAGTCCAGTGCCTTAACCGCCACACCACCTGCTGGCCCCTTGAGAGATTCTTACAACAGTCAGAATCTTTAAAAGCACGTAAACAAACCATATAATGTTTATTTTTAGTAAATTTCCTCCAAACATATATATTTATATACAGCAAAAATGTTCACTGTTGGCAAAACAGTTCATTTAGAAGTAGTACAAGAAATTTCATATGCATATTGCTCTACTTTCAGGAGCTATGGTTCTGTCATATTGCAGAGAATTCAATTTTTATTTCAACAGTTGAAATACAGTGGGACCAGCAGTTGGTGTAATGGCTATGTCTCTGAACTCCCATGTAGTCGACCGTGGTTTGAGTCCCAGACACAGTGGCTTAAACTCATGCCGGGCACATGTACATGCATGCCCAAGATCCCAAGAGGAGAATGGAGGAGAAGGGATTGTGGCATGGCCATCTCCCCTGGGGGGTGATTTCTTGCTTTCTGTCTATCTTTCTTTGTCTTTCTGGCAAGCACATGCGCCCAAAAGAAAAAAGCCTCTCAAAAAAAAAAAAAAAAAAAAAAGAGGCAAAAAGTTACATTTGTCCTCATATCAAAAATTTAATCTGAGGGACCAGCAGTTAGCATAATGGCTGTGTTGCTGAACTCCCATGTAGTCAACCACTGTTTGAGTCCCGGACCCGGTGGCTTAGACTCACGCCAGGCACGTGTGCATGCGTGCCCAAGATCCTGAGAAGAGAATGGAGGAGAAGGGATTGCAGTGTGGTCATCCCCCCTGGGGGGTGATTTCTCACTTTCTGTCTGTTCTTTCTAGCAAGTGCATGCACTCTGAAGCAAAAACGTCTCCAAAAACAAAACAAAACATAACAAAACAAAACAAAAAATTAATCTGATACCTGTTAATAATATATAAAATTTTTATTAAGTAGCCTTTGGGGTCAGCATGTGGTATGGTGGTTAAGACTTTATCCTCCCACATGGCTAGCCACATTCGAGTCCTGGATTTGGTGGCTTACCTTCTCTCTTTGCCTTTCTTTCTGTGGGTGCCTGGTT